TAAAGTAAATCAAGCTTCAAGCTGATATAGAGGGTGGCCCAAAAGTCAGTTAACAAGCAAGCTCTATAAAGGGATGAAGTAGTTTAGTTCTTTAATTCGAATTTTATTATACTTTCATTTATTTGTAGTCAAGGCTGGATTGGGTTCGCTTTTGGCCCTGAACTATAATGTATTATTAGGCCTTTCCCCTTCATCAAATAGTAGTAGTACAGGTAAAAATATGAGGCCCTTAGGTGCAGCTTGCTTAGCTTTAATGTCACTAATATCATTTTTCGGAGCGAAATCGATCGCTGTAATCTAATTTTTCTTTTTTTTTTGCACTTCATTTGCTGTATCAACATAATATTTCTTCTAAGTTTATTGCTTTTTGTTATTCAAACCAATCAATTAATGCATACCTCATCAATACATGCATTTATATAAAGATTTTTCTTTTTGTTTCCTTCTAAAAAACACATTTATAATGGAAAAAGTAGAAGGCTTATTTAATATATTAACGAATTATTACTGTTATTAACTCCCGAGTGATGGAGGAACACGTGAAATAGTTATAGAATATTAATTGATTTAAGAAATTACGAAACAGGTTTAGATATAACCCACAGCCCCAAAAATTCCTGTTTATGTGATTTTGAGCTTTGACCCGATCGTAGGAAAGCAAGACGATGCGGCTCTTTTTAAACTCTCGTGATGTTTTCGATTGTTTCATAAAGGTATGCCTGGCATTCTCCAAACAACAGGTACACCGAAAATTGAGCCTTTGACAGCCTTTCTTTATAGAATAAACTTTTACCACAATACATTAATTATTTACATACCTTCTGAAGCATAGTTGTATATAGCTATGGCTGTATAAGTTGTATAATTTATCTATTTGTTAATGACAGGCAGATAGACAAGCCTAGCAAAGTGGAATTAAGAAATGCCCTAAAATTTAAAGGTATAGGTAAAAGTATAACACGAAAACCGTCAGTGTTTTTCACACATTTTTATGATTTTTTAGAGAGGATTGAGGCCTCATCTGCGACTGGTTTACAGTAGAGTAACCAGGGACGGGCCCTAGAGGCCTGGTCTCCCTTACCTCTGTAAGTAAATAACATATAGAAAAAATAAGCAGATATATATACTGTATAAAGTAAGTAAGCTACTCTTGAAAAGTCAAGTAACTTGACTGGATGGTCCAAAAGTCAGTTTACCATAATATATATTTAAGAACAAGTTCTAACAGAAGTGTACTCGCTTAATTTTTTGGGCCACTCTGTATTGACGAACCGCATAATTATCATAATTACATAATATTTTATGTAGCTTAATTATGATAAATTGTGCTATTTTTAATTAATCAGATATTCACACTTGTAGTATAATAAAATAGATTATTTCTGATGGTAAGTTTTAATGCGTGTTATTCACGAGATCTTTGAAATATGGAATATACCGTTTAAAGTATTGTTTAAATGCGTAAAAGGTATATTTACGTATACAAATATATTTCACCCAGCGAGTTAATGTAGTGATGTAAACTAGCATATTTAGGGAAGAACTTAGATACACCTTTGTTCAGTAGTTTTACTAAACACTGGTAGTGAGTTCGCGACTCATCGAACGGGGAGCGGTGGAGTTTTCCAGAATTTCTTCTTATGTCAAACATATAAATAGGACCAATATTCTATAGAAAAGTCCACCCTGAAGGTATCCTCCTTGTCAGATTGCCCAATGTTGAATAGGTGTCAGTTTTCCCATAGAAAGTCCACCCTGGAGGTACACTTCTTGTCAGATTGCCCAATTGTTGAATAGGTGTCAGTTTTCCCATAGAAAGTCCACCCTGAAGGTACACTTCTTGTCAGATTGCCCAATTGTTGATTAGGTGTCAGTTTTCCCATAGAAAGTCCACCCTGAAGGTACCCTCCTTGTCACATTGCCCAATTGTTGATTAGGTGTCAGTTTTCCCATAGAAAGTCCATCCTGAAGGTACACTCCTTGTCACATTGCCCAAGTGTTGAATAGGTGTCAGTTTCCCCTATAAAAAGTCCACCCTAAAGGTATACTCCTTGTCACATTGCCCAAGTGTTGATTAGGTGTCAGTTTTCCCATAGAAAGTCCACCCTAAAGGTAACCCTCCTTGTCAGATTGCCCAAGTGTTGAATAGGTGTCAGTTTTTCCATAGAAAATCCACCCTGAAGGTATCCTTTTTGTCACATTGAATAGGTGTCAGTTTCCCCTATAAAAAGTCCACCCTCCGTGGCAGAACGTCCAAGTGTTAAGCGTAGAAATATTAAAAAATCTCTGACGTCATATCGACTCACCCCGTATACATTTCTTAATTCCTCAATTTATTTATGTAAGAGATTAAATTCATCTCTACAAATCTCGTGTAATATATTCTCTGTGGCTTTTGTCAAGGATTTCTTAATAACAATTATTAAATAAAAAGTTTATTTATTTATATATTTCCTAAAAAATAATACCAAAAGATTTCGAAAAATTTATTATAAGAAGATTACAGAGATTTTATTTATTTATAATATAAGTAATTAATGAAAAATGAAATATAATGAAATAAAAAAACAAATAATTTCTAAGCTTTATATTTTGCTCTAAACGCCATACTATTTAATTATGATCACCCAGTACTTACTATACTACATCCTGTACTTACCCTGTACTTCTATTGATATAAAATAAGAAAACAAACAATGGAGGGGGGTTTAGATTCGTAATGATGTGACAAATTTGTAACAAGAGGAGGGAAAAAATGTGCATATAATACTAACACGTACGCATTGGGTGTAGCAAATTTATGAGGTGATAAAATGGCGAGTATACGTTATAAATAATACAAATTTAAACTTTAATAATATTTTCATCTTCGTCCTTTTCTCGAAACAAAGTGGAAAACGTTGTAAAGCAATGCGAAAATATAATAAATAAATCATTTTTAATTATAAAAATCGCCATTACTGTATAAAATTATTTAAATTTATAAATAAATTAATTATATTACTTAAAATTTAAATATATTTTTTAAATGTTTATATATAGAAACCTCGAATTAGGAAATAATTTTCTTTAGGAGGGAAAAAAAAAAATGTTACAAAGGAGTAACCTTTTAGTAATTATCTAAATTCACAGAGGAATGGAAAAGACCATTCATCCGAGAAAATAATGAATAGCTGCACTGATATATGTGTAAAATAAAGAATACTTTCAGCACTCTTTCATCAAAATCTCTTATTTTTACTTCCCAACCTATTATATATAACAAATGGGAAAGAATAGCCAAGGATCGAAAAATCACCCCTCTAACACTTTTACACTTTATTTCCCCTTGTTATGTGTACGTAAGTATTAGAATAGTGTCAGATTTGATCCTTTAGAATTATGGAAATCCTCACTTTTTGTTATCCCTTAACCCAATAGAGTAAAAAGAAAAAAGAATTCTATGGGTGTGTCTTTCTGTGTGTTTATTTATTGTCTGTATTTCGTGTAATATCTCAGAATGGGGTAAAGATTAAGAGACGAAATTTGGTAGGGTAGCTTGTATATTAGAGGTGTTGATACTGTTAAATTTTAGTGGTTAAAGGTCGAGGGGGTGGGGAGATACAGCAGATCATGTGTCATATTTCGAGTGGAGTAAACTCAATTTGAAGGGGTGCTTTTTGTAGAAAATTTCTGAAATTTTGCAAGAAGGCTTGTTTATTAGGGGCACTGATGGTATGAAATTTTTATAGTTAAGGGTAGACGTGATAAGGAGATAAAGGGGATCCTGTGTTATATCTTTAATGGGTCAGACTTAATGAAGATTTCACTGGTAACCTAACCTAACCTTTATATATAATAATATTATAGAATATTATTGTAGTAGAATTCATTTAACTTTATTCGGTATATTTATTGAAATTAATGGCTTAGAACTTTATTAATTACAATAATTTTCAGAAAGTATCACGAATTATAAACATTATAAAGCGATTACTTTATGATTATTAATTGCAATTAAGTTGCCTTTAAATAAGCAAAGATAATTGTATATTATTGAAATGTACGCAAAGCATTAATTATTGATTATAATCTAAAGATAATAACCATTCTTATAAATTCTAAATCCATGTATCAAATTTACTGTATTTTCGGTGTTTATCTATAATTGAAAAATACACTTTAAAGTAGCGAATTATACGGCAATTTTAAATTGTAATTACATACCAGCTGTTATAAAACAATGGAAGCTTCCATAGGTGCGGGGTATACAATAAGATAGGTTATACAAAGATTATATTTTCCTTCTAGCAATTTCTAATGCGATTATACATTTCATTTACGAATTAATTAATTTAATTCTTTACCTTTTAACGCGGTGTTTTCTGCAAAATTTCATGTGTTTTATGCCTAAATTTAAAAATTCCAGATAAATTTAACAATATTCGACACAGCTAAACACGTTAACGTGTAAATATTGACTAAGTAAATGCGGTGTCTTTGGGTATTCACGTAATTAACTATTGAAAAGTTATGTGTAAAATTATTATACACGTACAGAAAGTAAATTTTATATTATAAAATTATATTTAATATATTGTGAACCTTAGGGTGATGATTTAGATACGTGTTAAGCTTTCAGCAAGAGGGAAAAGGATTGATTTCTGCTAGAGGCGTGTATCGTCCTTCTTCATCAACTAATCTTTACGTTATTCCTTAAGGATTTAAGTGAAAAATAATACCCTAAATGTTATAAATTTCTTATTTTAATCTTGGCATTTTTACATTTTTTTAAAACAAATTATAATAAAAATAAAATTCATGACAATTCGTTGTTATACATAATTTATTTTATGAATGAACAATAGATTTCAGCGAGGGTTTTACAAACAAAAATAATGTTTGTAACCCCTTACTAGAACTTTATAACTTTATTATATAATAAGCTTATTAGTTTATTATATAGTAAACTAATAAGGAACAATGAAATAAGAAAGTGATGTAACACAATCAATAGAACAATGAACAGCACACAGGAGACTGAAATGGGAACATGTACAAATAGACGAGGAATTAATAAAGCTGGTTTACAAATGGAGAATGAAAGGAAAGAGATGGTAAAGATGGGAACAATAGGGAGGGTGAGGATCTGGTCACAACAAGGGTGACGTCTTTAAAGCGGGCATGGAGACGTGTTAACTGTTTCATTTTTAATCAAAACTCGATAAAGCGCTTTCCTAAATAAGGCTTTTATCCATAATGCGCCAGTATGTGCTTGGTAACGAATTTTTCCCTTCAGTATTAAGTAGTGAATCCTCCAGCATTTTTGTGTAAGAAAATGCTAGATTCTCTATTGCAAACGCTATTTTTTTTATACCAAATTACGTGACTCCTCTTTCTTGTGCATTGGTAGATATAGAAGGAAACACATGGAATCCCCTTGAAGAGGTTCACGCCTCTCCAATGATGCTCTTTATGCCATTATGTATCATAAAATAACTTTATCTTTCTAATACCTTTGTAAGGAAAAATAATGCTATAGTATGGTTTATAAACAAGATAATTCTGACTCCTTAATAAAGAATTTCCTTTAAACAATAATAAATTCGTTGGAAAATTATATTATTAATATTTCTAATATTAATTCTTTTATTAAAACATGAATTGTGAGAATTTTTTATACAAGATGAGTCAAAAGTCTCTACACAAAGCCTGATGGAATACATTGAGGACGTACAGTACGTGTGCGTGGAGGCATTTTAAACTCTTTTAAGGCACCAGACTCAATTTATTTAGAGAACAAAAGTAATAATGAGCAATAAGATAGGAAGCGAGGTCTTCAGGTATTCCTTTTTCACATTACACTGAAGAAAATAAAGAATTGTAGAAGGATAAAATTGAGAGATCCAAGGTTGAGGAGCGCAGTTGAGAGATCGAAGCTTGTGATTGCAATAATTATAAAAAGAAAAAGAAATTAATAAAATGCTGAGGTGAGCTATTAAAAAGCCAGAATGCATTCCAAGGATATTAAGTGTTAACCAATTAACATTCACATTGCTTTCAGTACGTGAAGGCGTATTGGTTAATTACGTGTGCAACTTAAGGGTGGATAGAATGGCGCAATGTATTACTGTACACGATGAGGAGAGAGGGAGCCGAGTCTTTCTGTACGTGAAATTTTGTTTTAGTAGTATTAGTGTTTTCTTTCAAGCTTACTTAACTTAACACACTACAATTAGAAAATAACTGAAGAACTTGTAAAGATGTTTTTTTTTTCAATATTTAGGAACCATGAACATGTAATTGAAGAAGTTTACCAAAAGTACAATGATTTACTTTTGGCAAACCCCAGAGAGTGGGATGAAAAAATCAAAAGTAGCTCAAAAAACTGTACAATACTTAATGGGAATTAGGGGGTCAGGAGAGATGACGGGATAAATAGTAGCTAAAAAACTGCACTGATTAATGGGAAGGATGGGATCAAGAGAGTGGGAGTGAGTGATAATAGTTAGATTGAAAAACTGTGCACTAATTAATGGATGTTCCCCTAATGGGCAGTTAAAGATAACATATTAACCACTATATTACTTCCGAATCATTTTGTATATTAGAAGTCCATTGATTTAGGAGTATATCCTGCTTATTGTGGTCATTTAAATCAGAATCAGATTTTAATAAAGGGGATTATTATAAGATTAATACATCTTCTGTTCGTTCATTTAATAATTTTTCTATTTTCGTACAAGAAAATCCTTCGAAAATATTATAATTTCGTATTTTAATAAAGGAATAAATTACAATAATCTGTTTATATTTGGTAAAGAAAAACTTATTATAGCGATAATTTTATTAATGAATTGTCTTCGATTGTTTATGACTTGTTTTATGAACCATATCTTAGCATTATTTTAATCACCTTAAGATATTTAACGAGTTATCTGTAAAAATAAATGAATTTTATTGAAATTAAGAATGTAGATAAATATCATTCATTCATAAAATAACGTAAAAAAGATTGTAAAATAAAGAAATTTCTAAAATAAATATTAATTTTGTAGCGTGTTGTAGAGCATTAACGAACGAAAGAAGATTCACGTGTACTAATTCCTCGTTACACTACTTTCTTCCTTTTAATAATTTAATTTGTCACTCTATTGCGGTCCTTGCAGAATTCTTTGTGAGCCTGTTCGTAAAAAAAGGCCCTCTTACTGCACACAAAGAGGAGATAGTTATAAAAAGTTTAACTCTATCGGGTCCAGTAGATTGGAATTTATGGAAGATCTAACCAGAGGAGGGTACTGTACTTCCCGGAAAGACTTTCTACGATAAACTGGCTCCTGTTTAGGTGTAGACACGTGAAGAAACACGAGAAATTAAGATAATCCAGACCGTTGGTGTGGTGCGAATCCAAATGTTTAGTGGTTTTATCCACTCGACCATAAATAGACAGATAATGAAGAGAATTTAGATCATTTACAATGGAATGCATATGAAATTTGTAGTCACTGTTTAAAATGTCATTAACACTACAAACATTTAAGTTTTATAATGTAAGAATAAGCAACTTTAGAAAAGCAAAATACAGAAATTCTTCAACGATTCTTTTCATTCCAATAATCAAAAGATTTCCTATTTTTCTATTTCTATTGCTTAGAGCAACCAAAATTGTTATTAGAAAATTGTTTTCTACTATTCAATTTTTATCTATTTTATGTTATTTTTTGCTTTTCTATTGATTTTTTCCAGATATTTCCTATTATTTTTCTAACCTTCTTTTTCCCATGCGCTATTATTAAATTTTAAACCTGTAAAGATTTATTAAATTAAAAATAATTATGCTACAAAACTTTTTAGTTAATTTTCAAAATTAGTGCTCTTATTTTAATCCTATTATTTTCTATAAATACTTGATTTTACCATTTCTACGTGATCCAAGAATTTGTCTACGTGATCCAAGAATTTTTATAATATGTCGGGCCCATTTCTCACCACCAGACCTCCCCCAATGTGAGCCTGGTAGAAACTAAGATGGGTAAAAAGGCCCCTTTTTAAAAGCCACAAGCAGAAACAGTTAAAAAAAGGATGAAGGACATACCTCTAAATGCCAGCCAGTTGGTTAGATGAGAACCCATGACCAACTAGTGTTTAATATCATCGACTGGGCCTAGTAAAACCCTAACGCGTCAAACCGTCACGTAACTGATAACGATTAGCCACGGTGAATATCCCCAATGTGTGACTGATAAGGAGCAATCCTTATCAGTCACGTGTTTGGGATAAGAGAATAAAAACAGCTTTAAAATTCTTGTTTATTTGAAAACAATGATTACAATAAGCGAAGTGTTATAGTGTATTTAAACTTCTAGTACTTCCACGTGAATTCTACATCGTCGACTGTGTGTGGATGTCACGGCACGAGGCCTGAAAGGCCTANTTTTCAATGGAATGCATATGAAATTTGTAGTCACTGTTTAAAATGTCATTAACACTACAAACATTTAAGTTTTATAATGTAAGAATAAGCAACTTTAGAAAAGCAAAATACAGAAATTCTTCAACGATTCTTTTCATTCCAATAATCAAAAGATTTCCTATTTTTCTATTTCTATTGCTTAGAGCAACCAAAATTGTTATTAGAAAATTGTTTTCTACTATTCAATTTTTATCTATTTTATATTATTTTTTGCTTTTCTATTGATTTTTTCCAGATATTTCCTATTATTTTTCTAACCTTCTTTTTCCCATGCGCTATTATTAAATTTTAAACCTGTAAAGATTTATTAAATTAAAAATAATTATGCTACAAAACTTTTTAGTTAATTTTCAAAATTAGTGCTCTTATTTTAATCCTATTATTTTCTATAAATACTTGATTTTACCATTTCTACGTGATCCAAGAATTTGTCTACGTGATCCAAGAATTTTTATAATATGTCGGGCCCATTTCTCACCACCAGACCTCCCCCAATGTGAGCCTGGTAGAAACTAAGATGGGTAAAAAGGCCCCTTTTTAAAAGCCACAAGCAGAAACAGTTAAAAAAAGGATGAAGGACATACCTCTAAATGCCAGCCAGTTGGTTAGATGAGAACCCATGACCAACTAGTGTTTAATATCATCGACTGGGCCTAGTAAAACCCTAACGCGTCAAACCGTCACGTAACTGATAACGATTAGCCACGGTGAATATCCCCAATGTGTGACTGATAAGGAGCAATCCTTATCAGTCACGTGTTTGGGATAAGAGAATAAAAACAGCTTTAAAATTCTTGTTTATTTGAAAACAATGATTACAATAAGCGAAGTGTTATAGTGTATTTAAACTTCTAGTACTTCCACGTGAATTCTACATCGTCGACTGTGTGTGGATGTCACGGCACGAGGCCTGAAAGGCCTACCTTTCAGGTATCTACGATATAGCAGTAGAACTTTCAGGCCTCAGTGCGGGGTAATACACAATCCACAATTAAGGGAGACAACATGGAAATATTTGACACTCACACCTGAAGATCCATAGGGAGAGTTGTAGCTTTTTCAACCAGATGCAACGGTTACCATGTCACAAAACTATTGTTTTAATTGTGAAAACAATTAAATTTTACAATTTACTTCGGTATTAAAATTAATTTCCCGAGTAAACTGAAATATGGATTTAAAAAAAAACAATTAACAATAGTTATTACTTTAACGACTTCCACCGGATTGAAACACAAGTTAATGGTGTTTTACGCAACACGTGTTAAGGGACCACAGAACGAAATTACACAATAGAAACAAGAGGTCATAAGTGACTTAATACGTAGTATACGTCATTAATGAGGGAGATAAAAATAAATACAGACCTCATAACATGACAATAAACGTTTTATTTAATTGTTATATTCGCCACATGACGATTCTTACGGCTGCACTAAAATGTTAAAACCATCACGAGAATAATTACATAGCAAATGTGACAATTAAGTAAAACGTTACGTCAGAATCAAGCCAATAATGTAAACACTAAAAGTTCAAATTAACTGAATTATCCATTATGAAGAAGCTGAGTGAATGCCAGTGACAATGATGCCGTTACGTGGTTAACGACATGATGTAATTACATATCTACACAAATGACAT